ATGAGAGCCAGAGATTTCGTTTGACTCCCCGTGAATCGGGCCGCGCCGGCGCTCGATAAACAGCGACAGCGAGGGCGGCCACGGCCGACGGGGAGGATTCCCTTTGTTAATTATTCAAATGAGACCGTTTGACTTAATAATTAATAACGTGACGCGCCGCGTCGCGTCTCGAACGGAGTTGCAAGCGGCTGGCAAACGCGTCGCGTGGGCGCGATTAACCAACTTTCCCGATCCTACGCCCGTCCGCTTCGACGGTCTTCGAAAGATCGACGTCGGTTCGTCGGTCCAGCCCGGTTGACGAGTAATTATCGGGTCGCCGCGTAAATACGTCCCGTTTCACTCGAGAAATTAGCATCTTTTTTATTAACCCTTAGGCGACCTGCTGGTCGTTTGCATAGCTTGTTCTACACGGTTTGCTACGTCCTCGTGGAAGTTTCACGAAGTTGTTTTGGATTTTCGGTCTGTGAGGTTAGCTTGATAACGATTTGTGCTCGGAAAGTATGACAGTTGGAATGCTGTAATACTGAGGTTCGAATACCTTGGTTGCTAAGGGTCGGCTATGGGATGCAATGGTGTTAGCGAAGAATACGTTCTTCGGTTTTCGTACGACCTGGTAATAGTTGTACACCACAGAAGCTAGTTATTTATGGCGAAACTTTATCTAACAAATCAATCTATCGTGCTCGGAATGGTTCAATTGGTCGTCTCCGTAATTACGTTGTTTCGGAGAGTGTTGAAGTCGATTGGAAAGGTTTTAGTTACTTGAGTAATAAGCTGTAGGAACAGATTTTTAACCGATATAGGGGATGCTGCAGAACTTAACGCTAGAACTACAAAGGATTCGTTTTATAGTTTCTCGCAGAAATGTCGAGGAAATGTTTTCTCGTTCGGTGACCGTTTCGATTTCATTTGACTACAACAATTAAGTCTAACGTCAGTTGAAAAACCAGCTGAGAGAAACATTGGAAATACCTTCGTTCGTTCGTTGAAAAAATATACTCGCGAAACGGTGGCTAGGAGAAACAACTTCCTCGTCCGCCTCAGCATACTTTATTCTACTAATTTCGGTGATTTCCAGTTTACCAGAGATATAGGGTGCGAATCTGTGCGCGAGACGCCAACACAGCGCTGAGAGGACGCGAAGGGCGAATGATTGGCTGCGTCCGGACAGTGCCACGAATTAGGTCAGTGTTGGTGGTGTAGTATACGTGGGTGGCCCGTGTTTGTGTTCCGATTCCTCGAGAGTGCTCAAGCAAAGGGCGAACAAATTTCTTCAGCAAACAAATCCTCGATGTACAAACGTGTTTTTAAGTAATTGCTTTCGCCCGTCCACCCGCGCCTACCCTCCCCCGGCCGACCCTCCGGCCCTCCCACTCTAACGCGGCATCTGCCATTAATTTTAATCAAGCGAAATACCGCTGAATTTGTACCGTTGGCTACATGTGCGCGAGCAGACCGTTCCTAATTTCCTCGGAACTAAATTATCGTTTTATCCGGTGCGGTAAACAACATTTCAAATCGTTCCGTGGGCGACCCGGGAGGGGAGGGGGTCGAAATGGCTGCGGATGCTCTGGAACCATTCCGCCAATCCGTTGCTCGTAAATATTCCTCGAAGCGGAATACACCGTTGATAAAAAGCGAAGAAATACTACTAGTGCATTGCAAACGAACATGAATAAAATAATCAATTCGGTTTTAGTCACCGGTGAAGTCTACGTACGCACGTACACAAGAGTATACGAGTACGATTAATAATGGAGTACGAGTATTTCTGTTCCTTGAGACCAAAATATTCGTACACCTTGTGTATAGGCACTATGTCATGATCAACGTTAATTAGCTTCCCTGCTCGATTACACAAACACCGACACGATAAATGGTATCCCAATTATACTCTAAATCCTCGCGATGTTTCTTGACATATTACAAACGTTACGTTCTCGTGTATTAACCTTTGCACTCGAGAGGTCTCTCAGTCACCATTTGATTCAATGTAACAATATTACACAGTGTTACATATAATATTAAATTTCGTATAATCCATCAATATGCGAAACATTTATATAAAACAGCTTTGTTTCTTAATTACGTACTCGTTACTTCGTTTCAAATAGTGCCGTCTATGTCTCATAGTAAAGTGTTGAATATTTCTAACGAAAAGCTTCCGAGTGCAAAGGGTTAATCGAACATTAAGATAACGTTCGCGGCACGATGCCCGTCGATACACCCCCGGACCGTACGTGTGCGATCCAGGAGGCATCAACAAATTCCCCTAGAAACGGTCAAAAGGGGAAGAAAAGTGTGCGAGTAGATCTATCCGAACAACTGGGTAACCAAGTCTCATGCGGAAGCCTGGGGACCCGTATCCCTCGTTACATACAATCTCCCCCACTGCGCACGTACTCTATACCTCACTTGGTCTCGTTCGACGATCTCCCGTGTACCCTAACCGCCGGATCCGAGGTGCCCGACCAACAACCGATTCCTCGATTACGTTCTATTCCCCCAGTTCCCAGCGACTATCGATTCTCTGTTCCCGTTTTCCACCGATGTCTGAACCGCTTTTCTCGACGAGGAACCGAGAGACTGCCCATCTATTTCAAGGCATCCGAGCGGGCCACGATCGATCGCGAAACTCGATTTCGCACGATGGGCAACGGTCAAGCGATTCGGCCGTGCCGCGAACAAGGCCCGTGCACCATCGGTCCGAGATCGAGCACATATCCGAGCACGATACGTGGGTGGTGGCCCATTCGAATATCGTTGATGCGCGTTCAACGGGTCCCCGTGAAATCGGTCGGTGGTACGTTTCTTCGTGAATCGGCTAGGGGTGGGAGCCCGCCGGAGGGGAAGAGGGGGGCCGCAAGTCACGGGAAACAGGAGGTTATATTTTGTTACCTGGAGAAGCTGATAATCCTAGGCAATGAGGGTTCCGTCGTGCGGTGATACTGGCATGGCGCTCTCCGGTACGACACTGGAGCTGAACTCGACTCGTCAAGTGTCCTGCCTCGGAAGGTTCGTCTCCTGGACTGCCACCGTTCAGAAACCTACATACACTCACACCTACTACCTGGTTGCTGGCACGCTATTGATCCTTGCCCAGACAACCCGCCGACCCACGCAGACGCTCAGCGTTGCCGCGTCGCTTTAGGAACATGACGTCATTCCGCGCCCCGGGCTCCCCACCCCCAATAAACCTTCCGCGATTCGTCCTTTTCTTCCTTCGTTTCGTTAGGTTACCACCGGCCGCCTAGCGTCCCGACAC